TCAACGGTTCCTTTTACGTATCGCAAGATGTGTTTCACAACTTGGAAATGCAAAGTGGTCGGTTCCTCCATGAAACGACTTGCAATTCCAACCGAAAATGACAGGTCTGGTCGAGTGTGAGTCAAGTACCTCAAACAACCTACCACTCGCCTATATTCAGTTGGATCAACTTTTTCACCATCTTCATCCTTCTTAACCTTCAACTTAGGTTCCATTGGTGACGTTGTCGGATTGCAATCCAGCAACCCAAATTGCTCTAAAATCTTCTTTGCATAAGCCGTTTGTCGCAAAGATATTCCCCACTTCTTTTGCGAAACTTCGATTCCAAGGTAGTAAGAAAGTAATCCCAAGTCACTCATTTCGAATTCTTTCTTCATTTGTTCTTTGAATTCGACAACATCATTAGTGTTCGACCCGGTAATGATCAAGTCATCAACATAGACACCAACAATAAGAATTTTGTCTTTTGAGTTCCTTTTGTAAACAGCTGGGTCTTGTGAACTTTTTGTAAAACCAAGCCTTTTTAAGCTTTTATCCAAACGAATGTTCCAAGCTCGAGGAGCTTGTCGTAGACCATAAAGAGCTTTATAAAGCTTGAACACCTTGTGACTGTTTGCTTTATCAACATATCCTTCTGGTTGGGTGACATAAACCTCCTCTTTGAGATCTCCATTGAGAAAAGCCGATTTGACATCGAGATGGTGGACAAACCACCCATGTTGAGCTGCTAAGGCAAGAATGAGCCTTACGGTGTCAAGTCGTGCTACCGGTGCAAAAACTTCATCAAAGTCGACTCCTTCCTTTTGTACAAATCCTTTTGCTACAAGTCGAGCTTTATGCTTCACCACTTTTCCCAAGTTGTCTTTCTTCACTTTAAACACCCATTTCAAACCGATTGCTTTGTGTCCGGGTGGCAAATCGGTAAGTTGCCATGTCTTGTTCTTCTCGATTGCATCCAACTCTGTTTGCATAGCCTCCTGCCATGCCTTAGAGGTTACCGCCTCTTTAAAATTCAAGGGTTGATCCGCTGCAATCATCAACAATTCTCCGGGTTCAAGGAACACAAGGTTTCAGAATAAATATCGGTTAACGGACGCAATCCCCTTGGCCTAATCTCACTAGAAGGGCTTTCCATATGGGGCGAGGTTGAAGAAAACGGGGCTGAGACAGGAGTATGTGGAACTGGTTCAGGCTCGTCAAATTCAGCATATGGTTGTCCAACTTGGATAGCATCGATTCCTGGGCTGTTTGGTTGTTCCGGATTGATTTCGGGGTCATTTTGAGGTGTTTCGAGGTGTATTTGGGGTTGTGGTTCAATTATGGTAAAGGTCTTAGGAGTCGCCATCTCTTCTTCTTTGTTTTTGTACCAATTCCATTCTTCTTTTTCGTCAAAAACAACATCGCGACTAACTCGCAACTTTCGGTCTTGTGGATCAAACAAACGGTTGCCTTTAGTTCCATCTTCCACACCTAAATACACCATCTTCTTACTTCGATCATCAAGCTTCTTCAAGTGACCACCTACAAGTTTAGCAAAAGCAACACAACCAAAAACTTTTAGATGTTCAAGGTTGGGCTTTTTGCCAAACCATGTTTCATAAGGCGTCTTGTCGGGAAGTACTTTTGTTGGCAGGCGGTTGAGAAGATAAACTGCATGTCTAACCGCTTCTCCCCAAAACTCTCCCGGAACATTTCTACCTTTGAGCAGACTTCTTGCCATGTCCATAACGGTCCGATTTCGCCTTTCTACAACTCCGTTCTGTTGAGGCGAATATGGTGTCGTAAGATGCCTTTGAATACCATTTTCTTCACAAAATAATGAGAATTCTTTTGAAGTGAACTCTCCCCTTCGGTCAGTTCGAAGTGTCTTTATTTGATAACCCGAATTCTTTTCAACCATCAACTTGAACCGTTTGAAAGCGCTCAAGGCTTGAGACTTCTCCGATAGCATGTAAACCCACATCCACCGGCTAAAATCGTCTACTAAAAGGAGAAAATATTTACTCCCTCCAACAGACGTAGGTGTGATCGGACCACATAAGTCCGCATGAACAAGTTGTAGAGGTTTTTGAGCTCGAAAAACTGCATGATCCGGGAAAGGAATTCGGGTTTGTTTGGAAAGAACGCACCCTTCACATACTTGGTTTGGGTGCTCAATCTTTGGGACTCCGATTGTCATATTCTTTTCGGACAACTTCTTTAAGGCGAGAAAGTTAACATGATCGAGTCTAGAATGCCATATCCAAGCTGGTTCGTCTTTTGTTGCTAAAAGACAAGTCGGTCTACCGGTCCTTAAAGGAGTTTTATATAACCGGTTTGGGGATCGTTTAACTCTCAAAAGTAGAGTTTTGTTTCTGTCAAACAATGTCAGATCCGACCCATCCATTATGACCTGACTCCCTTCCTCCGTCATTTGTCCAAGACTAATAATAATGTTTTTTAGACTTGGAATGAAATATACCTCATTAAGGAGTCTTTGGTCGCCATTTTTGCTATCGAATAAAATCGACCCTTTTCCCAAAATAACGACGGTCGAACCATCCCCAAATTTCACATGGCCCGTAACGTGCTCATCTAGTTCCCGAAACTTTGAGCGGTCTCCAGTCATGTGATTGCTAGCACCGTTGTCGAGATACCATACCTCAGACTCGACTCGACTTTCTCCCGATGCAAGAAGATTAACACAAATCTTCTCTCTTAGAGACACTTTTTTGTGTGCATATTCTTGTGAGGTTGCCATCATTAAAATAGGCTCTTCTTCGTTGGCTTGAGTGAGGTTTGCCTCCTCACCTCGATTCTTGTTTGGACACTCCGAAGCATAATGACCAAATTGTTCACAAGTAAAACATTTGATTTTACTTTTATCCTTTCGAGAAGGATTATGGTCATTCCGATTTGTATTGTACTCGCGACCACCTCCTTGGCCACGTCCACGACCTCGACCTCGTCCCCGGCCTCGGTTACCATGTCCTCCTCGTCCTCTTGAAGTGTTTGACGAGTTTCTCTCGCCAGTTTGCTTCGAACGAGATGCCCACTCGGCATGTGTAAGCAATAGAGAAGGTCCTTCTTCTTTTTCTCCATAGCTTCGAAGTCTCTCTTCATGGGTCTTAAGACGACCCACAACTTCTTCCACCGTCATATTCTTCAAATCTCCGAATTGCTCGATCGATGTTACGATTTGTATAAATCGTATCGGTACGGCTCGCAAAAACTTCTTCACAACCGTAATTTCTTCAATCTTTTCACCAAGAGATCGAATACCGGTTACGATAGTATTCAATCTCATGGAAAAATCATCTACCGATTCACTGTCTTTCATCCGGATCACCTCGAAGTCACTTCTCAAGGTTTGAGCTTTAGCCTCCTTGACCCGATCGGCTCCCATGTGCATCATCTTGAGCGTTTCCCATGCTTCTTTAGCTATGTCCTTCTCAGCTAACATCAGAAGTACGTCCTCTGGAATTGCTTGATAAATAGCCGCAAGAGCCATCCGATCTTTACGTTCATCCGTTTCTGCATTTTTAATTACATCCCATACTCCTTGTGCTTGTAAATTCACTCGCATTTTTATGGCCCACACCGCGTAGTTCATCTTCGTGAGCATTGGATAGTGTAACGTAACGCTACCGTCTTTCCCGGTCCTTTGAAAACTTTCAACTCCGGCTTGAGAAGATGACGAGGTTGGTGTAGTCATTCTTGGCATATACTTGGGCATACACGAGTAAGAATATTTTTTTTTTTTTTTGAAGTACGGGGACCAATATGAACTTTTCAGAAGTTCAGGGGGCAAACAGAACTTTTACAGAAGTAAAACAGGGGCTAAATTGAAATTTTTCTGAAAAACGGGACCAAAATTGTAATTTTTCTGAAAAACAGGGGCTAAATTGCACTTTCCGGAAAAACAGGGGCTAAACTGTAATTTCCAGAACTTTGGTCAGCTGCTGACGTCACTGCTGATGTCACTGCTACAGTGCTGCTACAGTACCTGCTACAGTGTCGTCTTCTCCGGCGAACCCTGGTTTTTCCGGCGACTTTTCCGGCAGATTTGACCAACTTTGATCGGTGATTTGGAGGCCTTCCGGTGGTCAAAAAATTTAAAAAAAAATATATTTTCGGAATCCTCAGAACGAGACCTTTCCAACGGTGTACTCCGAAATTGTTTTTGAGACAAAAAAATTTCGACCAAAAAACAGAGAATGCTTCCCCCGGAGCTTAACCAAGCTCTGATACCACTTGTTGGGGTTGAAACACACTTTTATTCAGAACTAGAACAAAAGAGAAGAGCTTACACGCTCAATATTACAAGAAAAAGAAACAACCCTCTAATACTCACTCTAAGTATTACACAGTACACTCTCTGTTTTTGTGGTGTCTTACAACTGAGGTTAGAGCCTCTATTTATACTTAAACAAGCCTACAATTACTACTGCTACCATTTATTGTGTTCATTATGTGAACATACGAAGTTGCCATTTGAGTTCTTATTGTCAACAAAGGAGGGATTCATTTGTCAACTAAAGAGGGTGGTACAGCTACTCATGGCAGGTTCACACCCAAGTAGGTTTACACTCACAGATCGGTTCATACCATGTCGAGTACCCAACGTTCTTGACATCGAGTGTTATGGGATGAAATTTCTGATGTTCGTGATGCCTAGGGCGGAGTGGAATATGGTTTTTGATTGGCTAGATCCGGCCATTGTTCCATCCAGGAATGAGAGAATATAGGGGGGGGGGGGGGGGGGGGGGGCAACGATGACGGGTTGTTTTTAGGAAAGAGGCTCCCACACTATGATAGTAGATAATTTGCGATGATCTATTCGTTAACACAACCCGACATATATATAAAGTGTACAAGGATAACTATGGGAATTAGCTTACCATATTTCCAACAAATATAAAACAAAATTCCTAAAATATGGGTTATTAGTTCGGCTATTAACTATTAATTAAAACAAGTTATAATCAATTTGTAAAACAAAAATCGGGAGAAAACCTTACGTGTCGTGATTCATGAGTTACATCAGGAGGGAGACGAAGCCATGCAGAATACACAAGAGATTCATAAACTGTAACGTGTGGAGAATGGATATCATTTTGTTCACAGTATCCGCTGACACGAGCAAATGTTGCTTGATTCTTAGGGTAACCGGAAATGCTGATATTCCCTTCAATGTAGCCACCAGTCTTTCTTCCGGCTAAAACATCCATCAAAGTAGTCTTTCCGGCACCACTAACACCAACTAAAGCTGTCAAAATACCTGGTCTAAAGGCACCACTTACATCTCGTAGAAGTTGTAGATGATCATCCTCGAGTCCTTGAGCTTTCATTTCCTGAGAAACATGACGACCTTTATATTTTTATCTTCGCTACAAATAAATGGTTAAAACGATGGGACTTACTGCAGGCATGTCTACATAGTAATTGACATGATTAAATGCAAGTGACAATGGCTTAAATGGAAGCACCATTCCTTTCCTTTTAGACCCATTTGCCTTCCTTCTTGACATTTCTGTACCTCAAAACAATAAGATTTCATTAGAGCATATTAACCGATGTGAAAGAGAATGCAATTCATTTCATCCTTGAAAGAGAAAAAGAACCTTGGTCTGTGGGTGATGTTGGGAGCTGAATTTCTTCATCTTCAGTTGGAACAACAGTTTTTGAATCTTTAAGAGCTGCATTTTGTGTCAATCATACATTACATCAATCAAGAACTTCCACCGGAAATCCGAAAACATAAAACATAAAAACATGAACTTACGATTCAAGTAAGTGAGTGCTAAAATGAAGAAGATAGTAAAGAGCAGTGAATACGCACAGAGTGCACCAACACAAACCCAAAACATATAGTCGTTCATGAACATGCCTCTTGAACTAAGAAGAACCTTTCCTACGGTAGGTTCATTAATTCGTGGGTCAGGATTCGGCTGTATCATAATAACCAAAAATCAAATCAATGCAAATAACATAACTTCAGTCAATAAGGTTCAGTTAAGCTCACAGTGTTCCATCTATCGTCTAAAAACTCATTGAGCATGATGGCATTCTGTCCATACATCATGGGTGAAGCGTAATAGCCCCATATCATCCATGGCTCAATGTCATCTGTAAGAAATATGAACTTGTTTATATTCAGCAACAAGCTGCATATATCGCCAATAATTAATCTAATTGGCTTCTAACCTTTTGCTACGATGAATCCACCGAACACAAAAACTAATAGCAGTGTAAAGGTACCAAGAGCACTAGCAACCACCTGTATTCTCCCAAGGGAAGCAAGAAATCGAAAGAGACGCAAAGCCATTTGGTGAACGCAGATATAAGCCAAAAGTTGTTTAAAAAACCTGCTAACTGAAGGAGCAAACCCAATGGTGTAATATGTCATAAGAATCCATATGACAGACTCCACGACTGATATGGGAATCTTCAAAAGCCAAATGGGGAGGGCGAACGCCCATGCGGGGTAAAACAAAGAATCTCTTTGTTTGAAGAAGACAGGAAGCCTCATAACTGTGAGCGCCAGCTCAGCAGCACCATTAAACATCACAGTAAGGAGACTAAAGAACAATGCTCCCATATATTTTCCACCATCTCTGAGCTGACCACTTTTCATGGTTGTTCTAAAGAACACAGTGAATGCAAAATCGACATGACTGTAATCTGAAATGTTTTAAAAATGTACAAGAAGGCGTTGCGCTTCATTAGCAACCATTCTCTTGCTAAATTCACTCTTAGAAGGTCGAAATTTGATATACCATACTTTTCTTTCACCAAAGCAGCACGATGCACACTGGTTTTCTCGTAATTACTTTCAAGATCATGAGAAAGAGCCTCTCCAAGTAAAGATCGACTGAATAGATGAGCGAATTCAGGTGCAGAGATGAAGCGATAGGGTTCATCTTTCTTGAACCAGTACTGTTCTTGATCTTTTCTTGAAGTAACCTCTTGTAAAAAATCTGCTACTCCTTTCCTTTCTGGGCATTTGAATCCCACATTTTCAAAGAACTCAAGAACATAAACACGGGGGACCTTGATACACAATTTGACCTTCTGAAAGGAGTATAATGTCATCAAATAACTCGAATGTTTCAGGTGTAGGTTGCAGAAGCGAGACAATCATGGTCACATCCATGATATGAACCATTTGTTTCATATACGTAACAATCTGATAAGTAGTTGAACTATCCAAACCAGTCGAAATTTCATCCATGAAAAATACTTTCGCAGGCCCTACCAGCATTTCTCCTGCAAAAAGACAAAACAAATAACAAGATAATCTTTTAATCTTTGAGAAAATCTAGATCACACGTAAGCATAATTTGCTTACCAGTAGTGACACGTTTCTTCTGGCCACCAGAGATTCCTCTTCGCATCTCGTTACCTACCATGATATCCGCACATATATCTAATCCAAGTATCTGTTCAAAATGGCCTACAATTGTAAATCAGTTGAAGAAGACAGAAGAAAAAACTAAGATTGTGAGCTATATATATACACCTTGAGAACATAATCTGTAACCACGCTTGATTCTTGACAAACCATTGATGTGGCTTTCATGAAAGCATCGATATCAGGGTCTGGTGTAATCCCTGCTATTTTCTCGCGTCTCACAAGTTCAGAAAGAAGGTCGTATCTTGTTCCTACACCAAGGCAACGTCCAGCAAAATCAAACGTCTCCCTAACAGTCATCTCACCATGGTGGACATCGTGTTGTCTGATATATGCACAAGTTCTCTGAGGAATGAACTCGGACATTTTATGGCCACAATAAGTAACTTCTCCTGTTAATGTTAGATCCTTTTCATGTACTCCAGCAAGTGTCTTCAGAAAGGTTGTTTTCCCGGAGCTTGGAGGTCCAAGAAGTAGTGTCATCCTGAAAATGAAAACCTTTTTTTTTTCATTCAGTTTTCTCAGAATATAATGCTTAATTATAAATCTATTTCAAGAACTTCAAAATGTACATACGTACCTCGATGGTCTAACGATTCCACTCACATCTTGCAATATTTTAAGAACTTGTTTGTTGGATGGAACAAGCCTAATGACTTGGAGAAATCCCTATATATTAGAAGCAAAACGAGTAGAAAACTCAATATGCAATTGGCAATCTGTCTAGAATGAACATTAGAGTTTTTAAAATAAAAATAAAAATGGAAAACCTCTATGGCATTAAGGGTGGCATTCAACAAAGTTGGAAGTGCCCTCGACCCTATGAATACATCTCCTTCAATCGATAGATTCTTGTAACGAACTTCAATCTTTGGAGTTTCAATCCCAACCCTGGTTAATTGATATGATGCATGTTAACAAATTCTTGAAATTTTTTCAAGAGAGATACTGATAATGGATTGATAGTTCACCTATCAGTTCTTTCTCGAAGACGACGAAGAAAAGTCTCATTATCTTCTTCGACAATTTTAAGTGCACTCTCCATAGGATGCTTCTTATCCAGAGGACCAGTATTGGGGGTGTGAGTTCTTCCATTGTCAGGAACTTGTTTCAACATTTCTTTCTTTGATCCTTCATAGGTAGGGAGTCTCTCAATGGCAGCAAGTTTGAGTTCATCTTCATCATCTTGTATTCCAGTTTTTTCAAAAGTGTCACCTCCAGGTGCTCCGGCGAAAGCATCTCTAAGGCTAGCTGAAGCCCAGTTCCTACTTGATGCCGATAAACTGAACCTTTGGCTCACTGACCTCGCCATGTCATCTCCGCCATGAGATGCCGTCATCTCTTCCTCCTATCCTCACCTAGAAGTTACCAAGCATGCGGAAATAGATTTACATTTTGTTAGGGAGCGTGATTGGACATGTGCATGTCTTACATGTTCCATCATCTCACCAATTTGCAAATATATTTACAAAGGGTCTTCCCAATCAGTTATTTTTAGACTTTCGGAAAAGTTTAAAACGTTTGTAAACCTCATGTTCAAACTGAGGGGGTGTGTTAAATTACAATAAACCTCATGTTCAAACTGAGGGGGTGTGTTAAATTACAATTTTTGATACTTTTGTCTAGAATAGTGGTCCATATTGTAACTTATTATACTACATATATCATGCAATATTACTCCAGGAGGCTTTTTCCACAATTAACAAAAAGTTATATGCAAAACTCTCTCTACTTAGGTGAAGTTTGTTTTTAGCTTCAAATGTAACTTATAAACATAGTTTTCTTCAGCCAACAAACAAATAATTCTATGGTATAAGGTATAAAAGGCAAAATTCAGTTAACTTCATTCACACCCATATTATCCACATTCACTTAAATGTATGCTGCATGATACACATTGTGCATAGATTATATTATTGGAAAAGAAAAACCGACTTTTCATGGTATTTTAAAACTTTCAAAAAAAACCCCGTTTTGTAAAACTAATAATAAGCATAAGAAAAATGAGGGAAAAATACTTACAGGTCGAAGAAGTCGGAAGTGATTGAGTAGCAAAATGAAATTAATGGCGGATTGCCTGATGAAATTCTGGCTGAATGCTAAGACTGTAAGGATATTTCATTTACTAATCCACGACTCAATGAAATTGTAGGGTTTGTGGAAGAATGATTTGATTAGGGCTTGTTAGGATCGTAAACGTGTTTTGATTCAACAAAAAGAAGATTTCGGATAAGTACGACAACTTGTTGGTTACCTCCAAGAGGAGATATTTAAGGAATAAAATGACCTGTTAAATTCAGTAAAATATTAGACTTTTGTATCAAATATTCACTCATCTATTATAGTTTCAAATTGAATTAACTTTTGTAAGTCTCAATATTAAAATTTAGTAACATATGTTAAATGTCATGTGATTATATGCCCACCAATATATTCCAAATCTGATATCGAAAAAAAAAATGTAACCTTAGTTATCATTTGAAAATTAACTTTTAGCACAACTAATCCATCGTGGGGAGCACTTCTTCGATGACCACATCTTTAAAGTTTGTTCAACCATTAAGGAGTTGGAAGCACTTCTTCAAAGACCACATCTTTAAAGTTTGTTCAACCATTAAGGAGTTGGAGCACTTCTACGTGTTTGGTGGAAGGATGCTCCCATTGACAACGACTCTTTGGACATCGTAGGAGTAAACTCAATCCACAAAAAAGGTAACAGAATGAAAGATATCATGGGTGTGATCTCTAGGGTCTTCTTATGGTCATATGGACATACCGAAACGGTTTGATCTTTAATAGAAAAATGAAAAACTCATATTTTCTTGTTTTTGATGTCAAAGCTTTAGGGTTTTTTTACTTAAAAATAAAGCAAGGGGGATCATTGTCTTGGGACTCATGGGTTGATAATTCGATCTACTGTAGCTTGTAATTCCAACATCTTGTTGTTTTTTTAATAAAATATTGTTGTTAAAAAAAAATTCATCGTCAATGTGTTTGATGTCTTATCGAAAGACCCATATAAGCTACATAGTGTTGGAGATCATTGTCTTGGGACTCATGGGTTGATAATCCGATCTACTGTAGCTTGTAATTCCATCTTCTTGCTGTTTTTTAATAAAGTATTGCTGTTAAAAAAAATCCATCGTCAATGTGTTTGATGTCTTATCGACAGACCCATATAACCTACATAGTGTTACCACGACCTTCGAAACCAATGAAATAACCACATATTTGTCACAAATTAACCATGGATTTTAGTGATGGATTATTAATGGATGCCTAGTTTAGGTGATTAGCAATAGATTTTGAGACATACTCTTTAGCGATAGAAATTTGTCACTATCTATCGCTAATTTGTTTGTTTAAAAAACTTCTAAAATTTACAGATATTTTAGATTTTTCTATAATTAATAAAGAACATTTGCAGTATCAATCAAGGAAAAAGCATAAATTTAGAAAGTTTTCAATACAAATTCTACAACTAGGACCCGAGGGTGGGGGGGAGGGGTGGGGGGGGGGGGGGGAGGGGAGGGTCGGGTAGGTTGCCTTCTACATGGCCTTGGCTGAATTGCCTCAAAAGTTCGTTCATTTACTCTTGAAGATGACTTCAGACACTTCATGCTCTCGTCGAAGACGAACTTCCATCTCCCTATGTTTTTTTCTCCTCCCTTTAAAGTCCAGTTTCCAAGTCATACATATACCGACAAAAATATTTAAACAAACATATTCAATAAAGAATATACAGATGAAAATTGTAACATATTTACTTGTTCACCATATATATATATATATATAGATATATATATATATATATATAATATTATATATATAGATATATATATATATATATATATATATATATATATATAGACACACACACACATACACACACGCACTGTATTCTATTAAACAATATACACAAAAACAATATAGTTACATTTTATTTATATATTCAATTTTATTTATATATTCAATATACTCTATTTTTATCTAAAATAGCATTAAGAACCTACTTTACTCTTTTTAGCAATAAAATCAATGTGCTTACATTTTATCTATATTTGCAACATACTTACGGTTATATACATTATAACAATATACTTTATTTTTTATATGTAATAGCAACATACTTTACTTCTTTTAACAATATATGCAATGTACTTACATTTTTATCCATAATAGCCACAAACTTACATTTATTATGTATAACAACAACCTACTTTATTTTTATTCTATAACAGGAACATAGTTTACTTTTTTTAACCAATGGAGACAATGCTTACATTTTGACCATTATAACAATATACTTTATTTTATATTCATAATAGCAACATACTTCATTTATTATCCATAATAACAACATAATTTACTCTTTTTCCACTATATGCATTGTAATCACATGTTGTTGAGACTAGTGAGAATGGGTCCTGCATGTAACTGTTGGATTAGTGTCTAAGGTGTTGTTTGTTTTTCTTAAAAAAACCTCTTCAAAACTCTTATTGCTGCGCGGCGCAGCACACACGCAACATTTTTTGTCCCGCAGCAGTTTGTTTTTCGGAAGTCTTCGGGGCTTAAAACCTTTGCCCGTGTGCTTCTTGGGGAAGCACTTGTTGTACCTCTTCCCACCTCTTCCCACCCCTTCAAACTTAAACCTAAAAAAATCCAATCCTAAAAAACAATTGACCCTTTTTTTTTCCAAAAATCTAACAACCACGTGTGTTGTTTTTTAAATAAGTGTCTATGAAGTATATTTAATATTACGTTTATGATCCTTTACTTATATATTATATTCTATTTTCATCCCTTTAACATTTAATACATTAAATTTATATCCCTTTAACTGTTTTCTCCCATTTGATTTACATAAGTTAATTCATTTTAATGTTGTTTTTTAAATTAGTTTATTTTAAATTTTTAATGTCTGCAGCAGTCTGCAGATGTTAACAAAAACAAACACGTTTTTTATTACAGCCTGCAGCCGTTTGGTCCACCTCTTCTGCTGCAAAGGTTTGCAGAGGTGATCCGCAGACTTTTTGAATTTTTGCTTCGGAAAAACAAACAACACCTAAGTCCATAACTGTATTTGGTATGTACTTGACCCGGTTGTGCATGGTCCTTTTGGGTTGCCTTCACCAAAGCAATTTGACTGGAGGAATAATATAGAAAGAGGTGATTATGATTTATTAATATATTATAAGACAAATATATTAAAAGAGAAATCATATTTGTTTAATTAACATTGGTCAATAATTAATTAAGAATTAGTTTTGTGATCAAAAGAAGTTGATTAAACTTAAGGGGCTGAACTGTAATTATGTGATAGTTACAAAGTTGGGCAAGGAAACCCTAATAGATAGGGTGGAAGAATTCTAGGGATAAATCCTTAAGAATTCGTCCATGATAGGGATTCCAGAATTATCTTATGGGCTGCTTGGTGGCTAAGTAACCAGATAAGGATAATCACTGAAACCCTAATTCCTACACCTATATAAAGGACCCCTTGGCATGGGAATTTTAGCCACTTGAACCCTAGAAGTCATAGAGCCGAAATTCTCCTTTCTCCTCTCTCTCTCTCTCTCTCTCTCTCTCTCTCTTGCTTCCTCCAATTGATATTGGTGTTTGTGATTCATTAGAGGCACAACACTTGAGGTGCTAAAGTTCTCAAGGCTTCAAGATCTTCAATCAACAACAAGGTAAACATCTAGATCTGTTTTGTTATATTAATTTCGATTATATACACTAGATCTAGGGTTAGAAAGTCTTCGATGAATTGCATGTACAATAGAGAAACCTAGATCCAAGCATTAGGGTTTGCATGAACACATAGGATATTCTTTTGGCTCAAACCTATCACTGATATCAGAGCTTTGTTTGGTTTCTATTGTATTGATGCCTTGTATGTTCATTTATGCTTTAAAATCGTTTTTTGGGCTTTCTGTCAGATGAACTCGACGAGTTCCATTGAGAACTCGACGAGTTCCAATGAGAACTCGACGAGTTTAGCTGTCCGACAGAGAGATTTTTGGGATTTCTTGCTGATTTGCTTAAGGATAATTACCTAAATCGTTTTTGACTAATAAAATCCAAATTTTATTACTGTTTTATGATTATCCTTACCAAATCAAAAGATAATTACCAATTGTTTGAATAATAAATTCCTTATTTGATAATATTAAATTATTTGAATTAATTGTTGAATTATCTTGTAAATAAAATTGATTAGGTCAAATTTAGATAGTCATTAAATTAAATGTTTAATTTAAATTATTTGCTATTTGATCCTTTGTGTTTTGAAAAGTTTAAAACTTGGCCTCAAGTTTTGAAATTTAAATTTTGATT